TTTGTGATTTGATGCACCAAATACGCACTACTTTTAGGCAAGTGAACCTAATTGATTATGCAGTATAAGATGAGTAAGATATTATTCTTGAGGACTATTCTACACTACTAAGACAATATTAATCTAACCTAAGTTGAATTAACCAATTAATGGAGTAAAGCTAAACTATTTAAAGGAAAACTACTTAAACTAAAGAAATTAAACTAAAGGAATTTTCTAAGTTAAAGAAACTATGAATGGGAAGGAAGTATGGCTTAGATTTCATTTAATTCTAAGTTATGCAACTGTTTAATTAATTTAATTCAAGTTCAAATAATAGTGTTATTGCATGAGATGGCGGATTTCCCTAAATTAATTAACCAGCTTTCTCAAGTCAAGCTAATCCTTCACTTGTTTGCCAAATTAATCATATCTCTATGTAATTTTAAACAAACGAATGAGCATTAAATTCTATGGAAACCTTTAGCTTAAGAAATGGGAGCTCCTAACTCTCTTCTCTTACTCCACTACCACATGAAAGCATGTTTCTTGAAGAACAAGAATACTTCTGTTAAAACGTAATAGTATTTACAGTTTTTTTTTTTTTTGGTTTTTTTGGTAAGGTACAGATGTTACTGACTGATAGCTACAGATAATTTTCTTATGTATGCTTTCTCTTGCTTTCTTTTCCTGTGCAAGAAATTTTACATTTTCAAATGACTTTCGAACTAAAAGATTTAGGTGTTGTCTTTTCTTTTATGTAACTCCTGATTTTTCTACAGCTACTATGATCCTTACCGGGGTGTTATTGTTTATTTTCGAGTAATTGATGGGACTATAAAGAAAGGAGACAAAATTTACTTTATGGCCAGCAAGAAGGTATTTGTAGAGCAGTTCTTTTTGTTTTATCCTTTTTTTTCTAAGGGAAATAAAGAATAAAATCATCATTTAAGAACTCAATTAGTTTGGTTATTAAAATGCAGGATTATTTTGCTGATGAAATTGGAGTTCTGTCACCCAATCAGATGCAGGTAGAAGAATTGTATGCAGGAGAGGTAAACATTTCTTATCATTTCTTCACTCACTAAGGTAAAGGAGTGTTGTACATATCATGGATATTTGATTACTGTACAAACATATTGGTCATCAGCATAATTTAAATGATGTATACTTTTAAGATTAATTTTGTGTTTTATCATTGTTGAGTATACTTTTAGACTCTATATTACGTGATACCCTTCAGGTGGGATACCTTTCGGCATCAATAAGATCTGTAGCAGATGCCAGAGTTGGTGATACTATTACGCACCATGGTAGAAGGGCAGAAAACTCACTACCTGGTTATGAGGAAGCCACTCCAATGGTGTTTTGTGGCCTTTTCCCTGTTGATGCTGACCAGTATTGATCTTAACTTTTCTTTTTCTCTGAACTTTTAGATTGTCTTTACTTGATACTTATCATTTCTTTTTATTGGTTATAATGTTGGAGGTTTCCTGAGTTGCGTGATGCATTGGAAAAACTGCAACTTAATGATGCTGCTCTGAAGGTAACCTAATATGGATTAAAATGGATTCAAAATTTGTAGATTAATATGCTAAAAGAAAATATAATTTATTCTATGATATGCACTACTAAATCCCAGAGGAGTTATGTTCAGCTTATGGAGATTAAAATTCTATATTATTTTTTATTTTCCCTTTTTCTGTTAATCATGATATGGAGCTACTTTGTAGATTTAAGTTAGGTTTTGAGAGACCAAATTTTATTCATGTCAGTAATTCATTATTGTTTTTGTACTTCAGCAAAAATTTAAAATTTCATGTTGACATGTATGCTTGCCTTAATTTTATTATTTTGCTTGATCTCCCAGTTACGTTGGAACTTCATAACTTGTGCATATCCCACCAGAATGTTAAAATGCCTCTTGTTTTTTGGGTTTTTTTTTTTTTTTTTTCCTTTTCTTTTTTGGGATAATTGGTTCTGTTAAGTATTTCTACATTTTATGATGCTCAATATGTATAAATCAGATATTCATGGTATTTGAGTTCGTTTATAGTGCTTGCAAAAAATGTCTAGTATTATTGGTAAATTCTTCCACCATTTCAAATTTAGACAGAAATTATATAGGTCAATAAAAGTTTGTAGAATACCTTGTGGACTCATATCTTCTCAAATAACTATTATTGTAATCTTTAGTAAAATTAAGGCTCATAGATTTTTTAACTGCTATCATCACCATGAAATGATCAAACTTTTATCTATTATAACTAGTTGAAGAAATTTATCAAGTGATAGGTAAGGGTCAGGAACATGAACACTGATATATCTCTAATCTAGTTCTTATTCTGATAAAATCCATAACTTTCCATGTAAGTGTTCTCTATTTCAATCTCTTTCTCTTAATGATTTTATGAGCTGGATCTACTGTTTTGGTCAAAACAGTAGAAAGAATGAGAGGTGAAAAGTCTAGTGACTTTGTACGTGTTTCTTTTTGATCCTCTTAGCCAGCCTAAGTGTCTTCTGAATTCCATTATTTATTTATTTATTTTTTTGAATTCTGAATTCCATTATATTTCAGAATTTTTGAGACTACAAAAGTTCATTTATCTTTTCAGTTTATTTTATTTTTTTTAAAATAATAAATGATAGAGCTTCAGAAAGAGACTATATATATTTTATATATATATGTGTTTTTTTTTTTTTTTTTGCAGACTTTTCTATAAATAAGCTTAAGCTTGATGGCTAAAAAATCAAAGGCATAAGCTTCATTTAATACAACTCATGTGTATACTTCTAATTTTTGAAGTGGCTTGAATTGGTCTAATGCATCATTTGTATCACATTCGTTCTTTTGTGTTAAATGTATATTGTATGAATATTAAATTAATAGTATTGGTTTTTGAGTACTCCCTAAATGCAAGATTTGCTTTAACTGTGTTATTCTTTTGGTCTTCAAAAGAACAGTTTGAACCTGAGGATTCAAGTGCCATGGGTTTTGGCTTTAGATGTGGGTTTTTGGGTCTTCTCCATATGGAAATTGTTCAGGTATGGCCTTCTACCTATGCCCACCACTTCTTTCAATCCATTTCTTTCGCATCTGCAACTGATCTTGTTCTCAGTTTTCTATTGCATGCTTGTACTAAAGAATTTCATTACATCTGTTTTGGCTCACAAAAATTCCAGTTTTACAGGAAAGACTTGAGAGAGAATACAGTCTGAATTTAATTACCACCGCGCCAAGTGTTGTATATAGGGTGAACTGTGCAAATGGTGATATTGTAATTCCTCTCAATCCTTAACTCAGTCTTTCGTTTTATTTATTTTTTCATTTCAAGAATGGTAGAACTTGATTTTTTTTATTATAATTGTTATGTCTACGCAGCAGGGACCAGGGAGGAACTAAAAGTCTCAATCAAATAAATAAATAAAAATAAATAAATCTGCATTAGTTTACTTGATTTTTGTGGCAAATCAATTTAGGTCAAAAACCCTATTTGCACCCTATATATATTTTTCATACCAGATTGCAACCTTATGATTTCTTACCCCTAAATTTCATAGCCTACGCTTCTTCATCTAGGAAAAGACTGAAAACTTAACAAAAGCTGATAGTCTTAATTATCATTTGATGATATGAATAATTTTTAGCTGAAGTGAAAGGTTTTCCATGACATAGCATAATTTTATCTTTAAATTATTATAATAAAATTATAAATTTATCCTTGACTTAAAAAGTACGAGTAATTAATTAATTAATTAACATCAATAAAATAATAATTAAAAAATTCAAAAACTAGGGGCCCATATAATAAGGTTGTCGTTGCCTGTTTTCTGTTTTCATTGCCAAAATTTGAATGATACTGAATTTAAATAAAAAAATGAAATAATTAAAATATTTTTTAATTCTTGTTATCACTTTTGAAATTTCATACTTAACAAGTTATCGATTTCAATTTTAGCTTTTAATTGTTAATTTTGATCCCTCATTTTTGCTATAAAAAATCTGAAAAACAGATGACAACGTTACCAAATGGGCCCTAAAACTCATCACAGAACAACCTTGTTCTTTGAGGAAGAGGAATTGATAGGAATTATCAACATTGTCAGGAAAAAGATGTAGAGCACACAATTAACCTGCAGGTCTGGAGCACAATCAGACTAACTTGCGTTAGATGGAGACTCTGAAGCCAAGGCAGTTTTTGCAGTATTCTAATTCACGGAACTGGTGGATGTATGGAGTGAATTTTTTTAAAGGTATTTGAAGGAGGAGAGGAGAAAAGGTGGGGAACTTTTTGGATTGGGGCACAAGCAAGGATGATATTTTGGAAGTAGTTATTAGGGGTAAGGTTGGTGGGGGCTTGCATTGGGCGATTGGGAGATGGGGCCAAGGTGGTGGAGCCGCCCCAGTTGCAGTGGCTGGGAATCTGGTGAAAACTTCTATTTATCTTGACTGAAACAGATTTGGATTTTGGAGCTTTAATGAATTTGGCACCCATGGCTGCTTTGAGGGTGTCAAGAAGAAGGAAGAAAGGGAAGGGAGAGAGAAAAAAGCATGGAGGAGAGGAAAATGAAGGGTTTTTTTTTTTTTTTTTTTTTTTTTTTTTTTTTTTTTTTTTTGTCTTTTTAATTTTAGCTTTATTAATTTAATTATATAAAATTAATTGCATGGAAAACGAGAAAGAAAAGTACTTGCCTTCAATGTGCCTTCAATGTACATGGTACAAATAGGTAGTTTAATCATCAATTTATCAATGATATTGAGTATTAACCTTATTGCCCTTTGAATTTGAATACACCTGAAGGTCAATTGCTCAAACCCATCTTTACTTCCAGAACCAGGACAAAGAAGGTCAATTGAGGAGCCATTTGTTAAGGTTGTTTCTCGTATTTAGGATGTTTTCCAATTGACCACATTGAACAGACGTATTTTATATTTTGAAGTAATATGTACAGATTGAGATGCTTACACCTAAAGAATATATTGGTTCACTGATGGAATTGGCTCAAGAGCGAAGAGGAGAGTTCAAAGAAATGAAATATATCACTGAGAATAGGGCATCCATCATCTATGATTTACCACTTGCTGAGGTAATATTTTATTCTTTTCCTCTTTCTTTTGGAGTCTTTGTCTTTAGATCTGCGTTTTAAATGACTTGGGTCATATTGATCCAGTATCTTCTTCTCTTTTATTCCTTCTGCTGGGTTTATTTTGTAGATGGTAGGTGACTTCTTTGATCAGTTAAAGTCTCGGTCTAAAGGGTATGCTAGTATGGAGTACACATTTGTTGGGTAAGTTCATCCAAGAAATGTAGTACTAGCCTTAGATATGATTACCTTTGAGGATATTCAATGCTTTTTATGCCTTATTGTTTTTCAAATGCTTCATTTTAGATTACAGAACTTCATGTTGAATGATAAACAGAAAAAAGGCAAAGATTATAAACAGAAATATATATGCTATTTATGCTTGAAAGTGTTAAAGAAAGAAACAAAGGAATTGAGAAATCCTTATCTCTAGCCCTGGTTAGACATATTTATATGCTTAGTGAAAGATAATTTAACGTCTATTATACTTTTACAGATAATACTCCCATTGAAGCTTATATATAGAGAGGAAACTGTTTTCTAGGTCATACTCTCAAAATTTTTTTGGAGTACATATTTAAAAATTTATCTTCTAATTAATATTTTGAATAATTAACCATTAGATTAAAAGTTTTATTCAGATAGATCATGTATATCAAATTAAATACATTAACTATATGCCAATGAATAGAGTTTCTTGGATCAAAGGGTTATATATGTGTTAGATGAATATAAAAATTGTTTGGTTGATTTTTGAAAATATTAATTAGAAAGTAGGTTTTTAGACATATCCTCCAAAAAAAGTATTAGGACCTATGCTACACTAACCACACACACACATATAATATAAAATAATCGTAGATTTGTTGATAAACAAATGTTTTACATTAGTCATAATGCTCGTAAAAGATCTAAGCAATGAAGAACAAGAAGCCACCCAAAACTAAAAAAATCTCAAAAGTAATCGCTGTAAGGGCATGAACCAAGGCTATAGAGTAAATAGACAACCACTTCAACCATCCCAGCATATCCGATATAGTTAGAAGTCCCTCCTGACATGCCAGCTTCATTTTTAGGTAGAAAAGATGCTAGCTTCATTTTTAGGGCAAAAAAATTTGTCACTCTTGCACTATCTCCTTCTCTACGTTTGCAAAACCCAATTAAAATATTGAGAAAACTTAGGCAGACCCTCTACGAGAAAAACAAACTCTTTTGGGGAGAGAAAGAGAAGGAAAAAGTTCCCCCTTTTGTTGGGCAGTGGGTATGAGAGGGGAGAAGAGAGAAGCATAGATGTTAATAATGCCCAATTTGTTACAGATAACAATCAACCCTAATCAGACTAAGGTGTCTTATTACAAAATATTAGAAAGTTGCTCTTGGGTCTTAACTCACAAATAGAAATAAATCCTTGCTAGATTTTCTTACAAATAAAATGACAATCAATTTTTACATGCTTGGATATCTCATGAAAAAATCGTTTCGAAGCCATGTAAATAGCAGCTTCTTTATCACACCAAAGCTTCAAATAGCTTTGATAGCGACTTCACCAAGTAATGATGTTGGAATATGGGGTAGGAAACACAGAAAAATTAAAATTTTGTTCCCGAAACCAAATCCCATGTATCTAGACATAGATACAACTACGGAAATATAAATTCTACTTGCCTTAAGAAATTCACGTTAGTATTTCAACAGTAGAATAAGCTGATCCAAGAAAACGAAGATGTGCCCATCTGGAATGGAGAGGATCAATGATGCTCAAAGTGCTCGTTGTGAAGATCATGATTTGATTACTTCTACTAAAGGCTAGGTTATTGTGTGGCTTGGTTTCTATTTTTTTCTTCAATGTGAAGAAGCGTGTAAGTGAACTAGGAGACCCAACTTAACTAACTCACTTGCTGATTAGATAGGGTTTAATTTCATTGTTTAATTAAAATGGGTGATGTTATAGGGATAACCTTTTTGTCCCACCTTTTTATATAACTTCCACATGTCATTAAATGAGTGGATGCATTTAATATCATGAGTCCCACATGAATTAAAAAAGCCAATTATTTTAATAACACGTCAGGTTGCATTAAAAAATAATACAAAAAGATTGTACAAAAAGCATTTCCCAATTAAAATTAAACACCTCATCTTCATCTATTACAAATGGCTAGACCTATTAGAATAGGCTAAAATCCCTCATCTTTTTCATTTCCAAACCACACTGCTAGGTTTATCGAATCTAGTCAATTTCGGCTAGCCTATGTAAAAGAACTTGGCTTGTCGAGTTCCTTAATTTCAATAAACCAGGCTCAAACCAGGACCAACAAACATGATCCAAATATAAATCCTAATATCTAGCCCGTTCAAATCCCAAGCAAACTAGTTCATAATTCAACAATCCCATCCTAGTGAAAACTCTCAAGACTCCTAGTTTAACAAGGACTCTTAAGATTTCATTCCAATTAGTAAAATGGTATCGGTTCACCCGTCACAAAGAGTCTCAGTCCTATTCTAACTAGGAATCTTGATCAACTAGGACTCCTCAACAATCCTTCTTATTGTGTGCAACCCTTTTGGTTTCTTCCACAACGCAAGTGATAAATCACAAAGACCATGAGTGTAACACACCTCCCTTAGGTACCATTGGTCCTATGGGAGTGTTTAACTAGAAAATTTAGAAAAATATCGCAACGGAAATAAAACATTTCTAAATTATAAAATGTGTCCTTGTAAAAGAATTCTGTTTGCATATCATATAAAATATAACTAATGGAAGAAAAATGCTTATGAATGGACAACCAATTTACCAAAATATATTTTAAAGAAAGATATAAAATGCCCAAAGCTATGAAATAACATAGTCCGAGCTTATTTTTCATTGATTTATAAATTAAATACATAAAAGTAATTTACACAAAAATACATGAGAGCAAATACTTTTCAAAAGCTTTCCAAAATAATAAAACTAAAATCATCATTTTAGTAGCACATTGATCTGCCTTCACATCAAAAGCACTGAGGTCTTGGCTTCTACGTAAAGCGAGCATATGGGACCTATGTTGAAAGCTCTAAAGCCTTGGGTCGTTGCTACTCCAATCTACTAATCTAAAATGGAGAAAAACATCATAAACTAAAAGCCTAGTAAGTATAAGTTAAAGCTACAAACTTGGGTTCTAAAACCCTTAGCCTTACACATGTGAGCATAATAGACAATTAAACCAAACTATATAATATTATAAATTTTAGTATTTAAATAATAATTTAATATCACAAAGTTGTTCACAGTGAATCAAACATATCAAGGAATATCCAATGACATTTGAATCAAATCCATATCATAAAACTATATGCCCACAAATGTGATGTGTCACAAGCATAATGCATTCAACAAAAATCACACAATGGTATGGAGTCCACTGATGTGTGCTAGCAACACTCGTACTGAAGCTAATCACAGTACTCACCCTATTGCACAAATGTCCACTAAATACCCCAGAGGGTCCACTAAATCCCTCGGAGGGTCTACTGAATACCCCAAGTTTTAAGGTTAAGTCCACTTACTCCATAACCACAAACACATACATATGTCAAACAAATTCAAACACATCCAAAATAATATAGAAATATTATTTCATTTATTATTCCACTTAATCAATCACGTATCCAAAGCAATCCACTTTAAATATCCCATGTCTAACAGTAGATTTCACTAAACAAGATTTACAATTGATTTCTTCTTTTAGCAATGCAATTAATGCATGATTAATCAACCAAAACTCAAGTGCACAAGTCACATGCAGCACCCAAACTCCAATTAAGCATTCACAGGTCTTATTTTATCATGAAATTTCTAAAAGTCTTCACATAAATGTACAAAGAAATATCAAAACAATAATGGCAAGTAATTAACCAATAAAATTCACACAAGATTCAAGTATAAAACCAAAACCCACTTCGATTCAAGACCATACTTATACCCAAAGATCCAAATATTTCTAAGCAAAATTCTAATACCCAAAAATCTTTTAAACAAAAGCTTTAGAGTCAGATTTCACCAACTTAAACTAATTTTTAGTATATTGTAGCAAAAGCTATAATTTACCCAAAACTCTAACCCAAATCTATAGCTAAAACTTACAAAACAGCAGAAATGGGAAAGAATTCCAACTGGAGAGTGTGTCCTCACATATCTTTAGCACAACACCTAGCTGGAAGAAGAAAGAAAGATGCAGGGGACCGGCTGGAAGAAGAAAAGATGCAGAGGAATGGTTGATTCGGGAGACATTTATTTTAAGCCAAAGAAAATGGTTTTACTTGGTAGACATAGTGCCACTTGGTACAAAAAATTGGAATAATTGAGTTAAACACCCTTCAACTCTTACTAAATTCTACTTAAAACCCCAAAACTCTAAATCCAATCAATTTAATCCCTAAAATTATAAAATAAAGGACTCTAATTTCTAATTTATTCACTAAAGTATAGGAGTGTTACAATGAGTGGGATCTGACAACCAGTGGCGGCCCTTGGGTGTTGAGGTGGATGGTTTGAATTTATTTACAAATGGTGCAATTGGTACAAGTGTGTGGTTTTAAGGTCTTGTTTGGTTTGTGTATCATCTCAGAATGTTTTCTCAAGGAAGCCAAGCCATATTTTTCGATGGCTTAGTCTGTAAAATGAGAATTCTAGATAAAAAATAGTTGATTATGATGTAATATAATTAGTTATAATATCTCATTTTCCCATACCGTGTTGTGTGGATAACATAATTGAATATATATATATATATTTATCAACCACTGAATATATTAAAAAATAACTGGTTATGTAATAACTGGTCATGTCTAGAACAATCAATTATGTTCAATACTCATTTAAAAATAACTGGTCAGAATCATTTTATGATTCATTATATTTTTGGGTAAATTACTTTATAGTGGTTCTATCCTATTTTTACTCTTAATTCAGCAAAGATACTAAACTATGTCCCAATTTACTGAAAAAGCTCCAATGAAATCTAAAATAAATGTATTCAAAATTTACTTGTTTAAGATAATGTCTTTGTTAAGTGTCTTATTTGCCTTCCTTTGTGATTACCTATTCTAACCATATTGCAGTCTCCGGTACTTGGATAATAAAATTGACTTTGGTGCACATCTATCACTTCGCAAGCATGAAAAAATATAGTAACTGCTATAGTTAATCTAATCCAAGATTAAGAGAAAAATAGAAAATTAATGCTAAAATTCTAAATTTAGTCGATACTTTTTCATCTATGTAAGACATAAAGTTGGGTTTCCATTTTATCAAGAGTGATACTCTAAACAAACTACTTAAGGAAGATAAAATCTTGAGTCAAGCTCAGTCTTTTAACTAGGAATTTTCCCTATATTTTTTCATTTGGTACTTGTGTCGGATAGATAAAATATTGAGTCAAGCTCAGTCTTGTGTTGCCACAGCTTCCAGGAGAAAATTGATGAGGAACAAGAAGCTAAAGGAGAGTTATGTAGATTTTTTAGGATTCTTAAGTAATTATATAAGTGTGGTTATTATTAGTTTTCCTAATTTTATTGGAATTAGGTCTTTTATTAACAATATATTTGGGTTGAGGGGAATGGAAGAAAGGAGAGGAGAAAAAATTTCTCTATTTGATTATTCAAAGAATTGGAGGGGAGGGGAGGGGAAGAATTTCCATTACTTTATTTTTAATTTTAATTTATTTTCTAATCCAAATGAGGGGAGGGGAATGGAAGGATACAACATTTTTCTGTTCCCCTCCCCTCCCTCCATTTCTCTCAACCCAAACATACAGTAAGAGTTGTGTCTTAGAAGTTTTCTACCATTAAATATTTTTATTTTATTGAAAATCTAAATCTTACTTAGGAATTTTAAGTTTTAAGTTATATGTTTAATTTGGACAAAAGTTGTGCAGTAGGAGTCTTAGTAGTTTTTATATAAATAAAAAACCTTAATTATAGAATAGTTCTAAGAGGTGACTCTTAAAGGACTTAGAATTAATAAAACTAGAAAAACTAAGGAAGAGTTATTTAGATTATTTAGGATTCTTAAGCAGTTATTCAAGTGTGTTTCTTCGTAACAACTTAAGCCACTAGACACCTTCGGCAGCAGGCCTCCACCTAGCGCTTAGGTACTGCCTAGACTGCTTAGGCAATTTGTTCGCTACTTTTATTTTTCAAAAAATCCAAAAATTTTCAGAGAAGTTGATAAAAATTAAAAAAAAAAAAAAAGAGTAAAAAATTATAAAAAGTAGAAAAAAATCATTTAGCTCAAATCAGTTAATTAGCAAAACTAAGGGTCTAGAGTCAAAGGAGAAGACAAAATTTGAAAACCAAACAATGTCGTTTGATTTTTATTAATTAAAAAAATTAAAAACAAAATGGCTTCGTTTAAATTTTTTTATTAAAAAAGGTCAGGCTATGTTTGCCCTACCGCCCAAGTCACAGGCAGGTGGCAAAGGGTTGCCTCATGCTGTACAGCGCCCTTTTACAACATTGTTAATGACCCAGCCCATTAATGATATTGTCAGCTTTGAGCCATTGGTCCTAAAAGTTTTAAAACATCTCAATAGGGGTTAATGAATGTTAACTTATATAGCCAACATCTCTCCATGCTTTGTCAGTGAGGGATTTGTGTAAGGTGTTACTTATATGCCTTTTAGACACAACAAACTCACCAAGGTACGAGGTCACACAAAATGACTCATGCCATACATAACAACCCAGCCCACTAATGATATTATCCACTTTGACCCATTGGGTCTCATAGTTTTAGAATGCATCAGTAAGGGCTATTGGTTACTGAATTATAGAATTACCATCTGTTGTGCCTTATCAACATAGGATTGCGTAACGATTTTACAGTTTCCTTGATTCATATTCCCTTCTCTAGTTTTATTTTTGGTCAAAAGTCGTCTGATTTTGCATTTAAGGCATGGCTACTTTTCCTCAATTATTGAGTGTGTTTCCTTGTTAAGGGATTAAGTTGATTGCAAACCAAAGGAGAAAGCCTTAGTTTCTTTCTATTTTTAATAAAATTATGCATCTTGAGTTTGGTTTTTATATCATGGTTTTAGTAACATGGCCATTTGTTCTTAATTTGTCTACCAGGTACAAGGAAAGTGAATTAATAAAGCTTGATATTCAGATTAATGGTGATCGTGTGGAACCATTGTCTACTATTGTACACAAGGATAAGGTTATTTTAAGTTTTTGTTAATGCAGGCTCATCATTTGGTTTTGTTTACATTCTTAGATATGAAAAAAACCATTTATTTAGTATGTAGCTGATATTCATAAAACCTCGGATGCAAACATTTTGGTTTAAGATTTGAAAATAGTTACTTCAAGTATGTTTTGCATTTCTAGTGGGTGAAGAACAGATCTCAGAGAAAAAATTATTAAGTAAACTGAGCACTCAACTTTCTGGAAGTTGAAGGCATATATCAGGCACTATGAGGCAAATTGTTTATTTCTAACCTGGCGCAGTCATGTTGAAGTACATGATGTAGTTATCTATTCTCAGAAACAAGGTCCCTGGGCCTTCAAACAAGATTTTAAAAAATAAAATAAAATAAAATAAAATGACTTAAATACAAGCATGTCTTCAGTTTTGTCTTGTTCCTATTTTACCTTGGCTAGAGCTGTTAAGCAATGATCATGCTTCCATTTATGAGGCTACCAATGTTATTGAGTGGTTTTGCCTACATTAGCCTAAGCATATTTGTTATTGGTTCCATATAAGTTGTATCTGCTTTGTATAAGAGTAGGCTGCAAAGTACTGTAGCAATTGGGGCAGCTTCCAGTAGTTATTTATTTTCTTTTTGCTTCTTTAGACACTGAACCATGTCACTTCTGTATATAATGGTCTACTTTTACTCTAGCAATGGCAAGTTGGTTGCTAATGTAAATATAGACTAGAAATTGACACTTTTGTGAACAATGCAACTCTGCAAGATTGGAGACGGTTTTTCAATTTCACAAATGGTGTTATAATATGACTGTAGAATTTCATTTTAATTTGCAACAGGTTGCTATAATTAATGGGCCATCGTCTGGGCATATTGTTCAAACTTGAGCTTTTTAGTTGACTGACTGCATCAGTGATGTCAATTTTGGGTTATTAGATCTTTATTTTTGACATGTGATCATAACTTCATACATTCTGATGCTTTTATGAGTTTAAAAATATCTTGTTAATACTGATCAAGCTTTTGTTTCTAATGTTACTAGTTCAGCAAAAACTGGTTTCAAGAGATTTGACCTTACTTTAAACTTAAACTCATTTTGTTTGTAGAGCCATTCTGAAATTAGAACTCGAGATCAGACATTTAACTGGTTACTTTATTTCTCTAATTTTAAATCCTTTCTGTTCATTGAGGTGTTCAATTATCATGAGGTACCATTTGCAGGCCTATGCTGTGGGAAGAGCTTTGACACAGAAATTGAAGGAGCTCATTCCAAGACAAATGTTTAAAGTACCAATCCAGGTGAGATTTATACTCACGTTATTTTCAGGTCAAATAAAATGCTACCTATGATTTGTCTCTTAACTATTTCATGGGAATGATATAGGGATAATAGAGCTTTATGAGTTGCACTGAGGACACATCACAATGAACCTTCTACTTCTCTGTTCTCTCTCTCTCTCTTTTATACTCGTTTTTAACAATACAATGTATTCCTTGGTTAATTAAAAAGAAAGAAAAAGGAAAAGTTGTCTTTTCTCTATTTTTCGGTATGCTGCCCCACTTCTTTGTCAGCCAGTAAACCAGTAAAATGTTCTGTTTTAGATAAACCATTATTTTCCTTAATAGAGATAATTTAGCACTTGACTTATGGCATCCTTCCTGACAGGCATGCATAGGTTCAAAGGTGATTGCCAGTGAATCTTTATCAGCCATTAGAAAGGATGTTTTGGCGAAGTGCTATGGTAAGTCTATTCTGATACTCATTTTTCCTAGTCAATAAATTTCACTCTTTTCATTGGTAGACAATTTATATGTATATATTTTCTCAAGTGTACACGAATTGATCAATTAGCCACAAAAGGGAGATGAAGGAGGAGTGGAAAGGACCAGCCATGACTCCTAATTTTTAAGCCTTCAATCACAATTATGCCGTGAGTTATGACAGTTATTTTTTGTAAAATGGTATCTGTCCACTACTAGCTCTTGAGACTTGAGATAATCAGGAGAAAATGTTTTGAGGATAAGACCTGGCAAACGGGTGGGTTGGGTTGAGTTAGGGTTGGGTCAAAATGGGTCATAGGTCAAACGGGTTGAGTTAAAATGAGTCACGGGTTAACCGTGGGTTGACCCAATTAAATTTTTTTCCTTTTTTTCTCTATAATCTGTACCTATTATCATCCAAATAAAATTATTCAAAAGATTTAAAAATAAAATTCAACATCTTATAAAAAGAATTTTTTTCTCATTAATTTAATAAAATATATTTACAGTTCCTTAGAATCACCTTTTCCACTCCACTTCCCTTCAAAGAACAACTTTCATCAAATTCAAGAACACCACACTTAAAAATCCCAATAGCGAAAAAAAAGAAGAAAAAAGTGCAGTAGTAGCTTGACAACCAAAAAACACAAACCTCATTGGAATATATTTGTTCTAGTCATTGCATTCAAAGAATCAATCAATTGAATGCATCTAAGTAAGCAAAGGAGAAGATCAACTAGAATTTTTACTTGGAATGGAAAGAAAACTAAAGGCATAAATAAGTAAACAACTTACCTCAAAGGCTTTAGAGAGAAGTTGGTGACAAAGAGAGCACTTGTTAGACTCGAAGGAGAAAGAAAGAAAGGGCTGAGTTGAGACGTTGTGACTTGGTGAGATTGAGATTTGAGTTTGAGATGATGTTAACGACTAAAGAGAAAATGTGGAGTCAAAGCTTGAAAGTCAAAGGCTATATGGACTATGAAGGTTGAAGAATATGATAAGAGTTTGAACTTTCAAGAGTTAGAGTCCTAGAGAGTATTAGGCCAAGCAAGAATAGGCCAAGCAAGAATAGGAAATGTCAGGAGGTTAGTCATGAGTGGAATGGGATTATTTTTGCTTCTAGAAGATGATGAGCTAAGAGAATCAATTAGCTAATTAAGGAAAATTAATCAATTATTAGAGGTTTATGTGAGATTGGGAATTGGAAAACAAAATAAATAAATAATAAATTAAAATTTTTTAAATTTTCATATGGGTAAACGGGTCAAGCTCGTTAACCTGATGAGTCAACCCGTTATTGACTCGTGATTTGTTAGGTTCTCTTAATGGGTCATTAACGGGTCACGGGTCATAAATATCTAACTCTAACCCATTTTAAATGGGTGGGTAATGTGTGGGTTAGTAGGTTGGGTAAAAAATTGCCAGGTTTCACCTCATGCAGGTATTGAAATGAAACAGTAACTACATTATAGTACTTCGGTACAAGTTTATATGTAGTTCAGTAGTTGATTGGCCTTTATTATGGTATCCCATGTAACATGTAGTTTTAGCTTGATTTTCAACATTATATTAGCCTTAAGGCTGATTTGGTTGGACAGAATACGTATTCCATGGTCAAAGCATAGAATTAAGGTAACTGAGAGTGAGAGGATGACATAATAGGAATGCATATTCCTGCCATGCAACTATTTTCATTAAGTTGGAGTTGAGAGGGTAAATAACGTAGGATGCAATGCAAGCAAAGGAGATAACTTAGAAACAGAGGCAAGTGTGGGAAGAGAATACCAGAATTGGGGATTTTGGAACACAATTTGAATTAAACTCATCAACTGAATAACCCTAAGCTTAAATAGAAAAACTAAAACCCTAATTAGATTTAATTCCTAATTAGACTCCAAATTGAAATCGTTTTTGAAAGATAATAACAAATCCTAATAAATATAAACCAATAAATGTTGCCATTTAATTCCTATATATTCATAATCAATCATGATAAAACTCTAATAAATATATTGTTTCCTTCCTTATTTGCATCTGTAAGGCTAAGACTTATGGAAGAGGAGTGATTAACTATTCCCTCATTGTTTCATTATGTTATAACAAATTAGTGACAACAAGGAATTATCATGATGTTAAAACAAAATTAGTGATAAGGAATTGTCATTCCTAAAATGTCATAATCTTTCTCTAATTTAACTTAATTTTATAGTTTAACCAAGGAATACCCATTCCTCCAACAAACAGTTAATTATGGTGGCTATTTTTTTGGTCAAATTATAAAGATAAGCTAAATTTGAAAAATTCCCTTAGGATGCCAAGAATAGCTATGTTGATAATTTCTTACTAAACTATGAAATGAATGACGAATATGTATTCCTCCATTTCCATTTTTAAGGAATAGGTATTCCTTGATTCTTTACTAATGTATAAGGGAAATTAGATATTAAGGCTTAGTTATTCCTAGTTTCCTAAGAATGTTTCTCAAATTTAGCTTGTTTTTATAGTTTGACCAAAGAATAACTATTACCACCAACCAAACAAAGCTCAAAACAAGGGTGTGGAAATTTTCTTTTTCATTTTTCCTTCCCTTATTCAGGTATTTATTTAATTCAGCATTTGAATTCCACATCTAATGTTTGAGTCAATACCATACTTTCTCTTCAAGTCAAAAGTTTAAGTTAACTTTGACTTTCCGATTCTGAAAAAAATAGCTATACTTTAAATTTTCTACCGTTTAGATAAAAAATCCAAGTGAAATTTGGATAAAACTTAATTCCTAGTAACTAGTAATGAAACCAATACAACCTTGGATTGTTTCTACAATACTCTTAACCTTAATTAGGATTTTTTTTTTTTTTTCTGGCCATCAACCTTAATAAAGGAATTAATGTAACACACCTCCCTTAGCTACTAATGGTCCTATGGGAGTGCTTAACTAAAAATTTTTTTGAAAAATAACGCAACGGAAATAAAACACCTTTGAAATATAAAATATGTCCTGTAAAAGAATCCTATTTGCATTTATAATATAAATGATGAAAGAAGAATACTTGTAAATAGAAAACTAATTTAGCAAAATGTATTTAAAAAGATGTATATATATAATGCTCAAAACTATGAAATAACATAAGCTGAACCCTTTCTTCATTAATTTAGATATCACATATATAAAAGCAATTTACACAAATTATATGAAAGCAAATGCTCTTTAAAAGCTTTTCAAAATAATAAGGTAGAATCATCGTTTTGGTAACACATTGATTTGCCTTCACATCAAAAGCACATGGTCTTAGCTTTTATGTGCAACGAGCATACGAGATTTATACTGAAGCTCTCAAGCTAATGATTGCTACTCTAATCTATTGATTTGAAATGGGAGGAAATATCATGAGCTAAAAGCCTAGTAGGTATTAAGTTAAGCTCTCAACTTGGGTCTTACGACCCCTATATCTATATACACAAAGGGCATGATAAACAATTAAATCAAGCCACATAATATTATTTTTTTTAGTATTTAAATAATAATTTAAAATCACATATTAGCTCACAAACAATCAAACATGTCAAGGAATAACCAATGACATTTAAATCAAATTTATATCATAAAACTTTATGCTCACAAATGTGATGTCACAAGCATACAAGCATAATGTATAAAACAAAAATACACAATGCTATGGAATCTATTGATGTGTGCTAGCAACACTTGTACTAAAACTAATCATGGTAGTCACCCTACCACGCAAAGGTCCACCAAAATACCTTGAAGGTTCCACTGAATATCCCAAGCTTTAAGCTTAGAGCCACTTATTCCATAGCCACAAACATATACACATGTCAAACAAATTCAAAACACATTCAAAATACAAAATATAATAAGAATATTTTCATTCGTTTATTAATTCCATTTATGCATTTCTACAGCAATTAACAATAAGTTTTCTAATGCTAATTCACAGCTTTCATCCCAAAATTAGGATTTGATTTCTTATTTTAACAATGCAGTTAATGCATGATTAGTCAACCAAAAGTCAAGTGCAACTCAAGTGCAACAATTACACTGGCAGCACCTAAGGTCCAAATAAGCATTCACAAGTTTTGCTTTATCATGCAATTTCCACAAGTCTTCACACAAATATACAGGGAAATACCCAAAACTACAACAGCAAGTAATTAACCAATAAAATTCACACAAGATTCAAGCATAGACCTAAAATCCACTGCAAACCTCAAAACCGTACATATACCTAAAAATCTAAATATTTCTAAACAAAATTCTAATTCTCAAAAATCTCTTATACAAAAGATTGAGTCATATTTCACCCACTTAAATTAATTTTTAGTATATTATAGCAAAATTTAAAATTAACCCAAAACTCAAATCCAAATTTATAATTAAAACTCATACTTACCTATGAAAATTAAAGCACCAAACTGAAGAAAACAGTAGAAATTAATAGCAGAAGTTGAAGAAGAAGGTCACTAGATAGTCCGCTCCATGCTGCAATCCACGTAAGTCTCCTCTCTTGGTGGAAGTTCAAAATAGTAAAGAGAAATGGGTTTTCGGGAGTGCAAGGCAAAAAATAGGATTTTTCTTTTCTAAAATCTTCCAGAGGAAGCTCGGGTGCTCCACAAAACTTTCCTAATTCAAGACAACACACTTGGTTGTCATGTTGCCACGTGTCTCCAAATTTGGCTAATTTAGTTAGATAGTTTTTAACTATTTCAAGATTTCACATAAAGTTCACATACTCCAAATCTAATCAATTAGTCCCAAAAACTATAAAATAAAGGACTCAAATTTCTAATCTATTCACTAAAATATATGGGGTGTTACCATTAAGAATGCATCTTAAGTGCTAACCACCTAGGCAAACTAATCTAAGACTATAGGGTATAAGCTATTTTAAATTGAAATAAAGTCCCAAAAGATCAAACTAAATGCAAAGAACCCCAATAGTTGTGCCTGAAATCAGAATATTGAAGTTTTTAAACTCCTGAATGGTGAACTGATATAGTGCTATGAATGTCTATTGTCCAATACCCTGGACTAGAATGTGCAAAAAATTAACCGTATTCCCAAGTGAACTCAACATTTAAGTCATTCCACCAAGTCAAAGCTCAAGCCTAACCGTGCAATTCCATAGACTCAAATGTTTACTGTTCTTTCAATACTGGTTGTAGTAAGAACCATGGGTGGCTGCTGGACCTCAAAAAGTTAATGGTAGTTAACATGACGTCCTAAAATGTTTCATCTTATCAGGGCCTAGATAACAGACATATTACTGTTGGTATATTCTTCATCAGTCCCTGATCATTAGCTTTTGTTTCCGTCTTCCCACCTGTAATATATTTATTTAATTTTTCCTTGGGTCCATCTCCATCCATAGCTCTTCTTGACTTTGGGTAGTGAAACATTTGATCAGAATTGGTCTATCTCAAAATATGGTATTAATGAATTGGCTAAATTTCTTATAAGATGTCCAAGCTACCGTTGTCAATGAAACAAATCATGAAATGGTTTCAAAATATGTGCCACAAAGGATTTTTTTGTATATTTCATCATGTTGGTTCTTTTTCTTTTTCTTTTTTTTTTTTTTTTTAATGAACTGAATAGATATGTAACT